AACAAGCATGCTATTAAAAACAGTGTAATGAATAGTACAGGTTGGGGTTAATGGAAACAGATGCAGTGACCAATCAGAATGGATGTCAGTGTCATGAGCTGGAGCTTGTTCAAGTGAGAGACGGCTGAACTGTATTGTCTTCATTTAGCCTTTCTAAGTGTTTAGATAAAAAGGCTTAAGATAGGCTCCTGGGGCATCTGGGTGACTCATTCGGTTGAGCAATGAGTGTCCAACTTCAACTCAGGTCATGACTCAGGGTTTGTAAGTTCAAGCCCTGCATCAGGCTAGCTGCTGTCAGTACAGAGCCTCCTTCAGATCCTCTCCCTCCTCACTCTCCTCCTACCCTGCTCACACTCTCTTTCAAAAATAAATAAACATTTTTAAAAAAGCCTCATAAAAAAGGGCTTAAGATAAGAGGTGACAGAAACCCAGATTATCTTGTCCTCTGGCATAGGAAACAAAAGTAACTGAAGAATTAAATTTCCTTATGTCTATATCCCATTGACAAGTCCTTAAAACAGAAGAGTAACCTTCCTCTAGGAACTCAGCTGCCTCGCTGATAACATTTTGCTACGAGCAAAAGGTAGTATTTGCCTGAGCCCACAGGATCCTCTAAGTCTACTTTAACATATAAAAATTCCTTTGGAGACTTTATTTATCGCTAACCCCCGAAGATACAGGTTGGCAATAATACTCCAAGCTTATGGCCCACGGATAAATATTTGAAGGGTCTCATGACTGAGTTTTTACTAAACAGTAATAAATAACCTTTTCCTAACAATAGCTAGCCTCCTCAAGGTCCCAAAACTCCTTGCTTCCAAAATTCCTTAGAGACTTACACTATCCCTAACCCCCTCTTAACCTGAAGGTATGTAATCGGTCACCCATCACAATCCTAGTGCACTTCTTTCTGCCCATAGGTCCTGTCCCCGTGTTTTAACAAAATCAGTTTTTTGCACCAAAGACATCTCAAGAATTCTTTCTTTTCTTTTCTTTTTTTTTTTTTTTAATGTTTTATTCATTTCTAGGAGAGAGAGAGAGAGAGACAGCATGAGCAGGGGGAGGGTCAGAGAGAGAGGGAGTCACAGACTGAAACAGGCTCCAGGCTCTGAGCTGGCAGTCAGCACAGAGCCAGACGCGGGGCTCGAACCCAAGAACCGCGAGATCATGACCCAAGCGAAAGTCGGACGCTTAACTGACTAAGCCACCCAGGCGTCCCTCAAGAATTCTTTCTTGAACATCAGCTCTGGCCTCTCACCACTCCAAAACCTCCATCACTCTACCAGGTTATAGTTTCCTGGGGACAAATAGTGTGTTTCAGTCATGATCCTATCCCTAATATCCATTTAGAAGTTCTCTTCCTTTTAAATGAACATCTGTTAGTTACATTCTTTCACTACATTTTCAATAGCTTCCCATTTTTAAGCTTTTAGTTGTCTTTTCATGGAGTAAAACTATAGCTGGTTAGAATATTTTATTATTTAGAGAATGATACACGTAATCAGTTCTATCGTCAGGAATGTAGAGTTTGGGTGGTTTGCAACGTTTGAAAGGAGCAGAATTTGCCACTTTAAGGTATTTTTCTTTGGCACAAGAGTTATTTTAGGCTGAGTATTTTTTAGGTTTATTTATTAATTTTCGAGAGAGAGGGAGTGGGGTAGAGAGAGAGAGAGAGAGGGAGAGAGAGAGAATCCCAAGTAGGCTCAACACTGCCAGTGCAGAGGCTGGCATTCAGGAACCATAACATCATGACCTGAGCCAAAGAGTTGCACGCTTAACCATCTGAACCACCCAGGTGCCCCTAGGCTAAATATTTTTAAGAAACAACATCTATAGGAATAGCTCAGAAAACTGAGTAGAAGTCTCCTTTGTAAGAGACACCTTTATAAGGGAAATTTACATCTGCTCGAGGAAGAGAAGGATGACTCTAGAAACATTAATCAATAGAGAAGGTCACAACATAAATCTGCATAACAATAACACCCTTGTTTTCTGGGCATTTCCTGATAGCCTCCCTTGAGTGGCTCCGTCTCCCTCCCATCCCCGCCCCCCAACATCTTTTGTCTTTAGCTGGAGATGATAGTTAAGGCAGTGGTTCTGATCATCTCAGGAAGTGACTCAGTTTTCCTGGGTATTTCCCATGTATACAGGAGGTATACAGTTAATAAACTTGGTTGTTTTTCTCCTGTTAATCTTTTATTACAGTGGGTGCCTCAGCCAAGAACCTAGAAGGGTAGAGGAAAAATATTTTTCCTTCCCTACACTTTATTTTTGACTCAAATAAAAGTAATATAAATGCTTCAAAATAAGTACATTCCTCTCAGGCATATTTTGTTTCTACGATGATGGCAATGATGAGGTTAGACATAAAACTGAATTTTATAGTTTAGCATAAAGTTTTTGCTTGCTCTTTGGCTAGAGACAAATATTAGCTAAATTTCCTAACTTTATAAAGTCCAAAATAAAAGTTATCTTTAAGAAACACTTTGCTTTACTGTACAAATACAGTATGCCTTAAAATATGGACTAAATAGAACATAAATAGGGCTATGATAATGAAATTGCCTTCAAATTATAAACAAAAGACTGATTATGAAATTAACCTCTCTCTAAGAGGTCCAAAACAAATTAGTACTTTAAAAAAGAGTAACTGCACCAAAGGAAAAGAACTGGGAAAAACAAAACTTTCAAACAAGACTCAAGAACAAATCTAACCAGAGAACACTACTAATACAATATTTGATGTGCTAAAATACTTTTAATTATTTCTGAATTCAAACCTGCTTTCGCTTACTTGAAATTGTTGCATAACTCAAAAGGGCCATTATAATTCAACCCAAATGGTAGGGTACTTCAATGAGCTGGTGGAATTGATTCTGGACATTAAAGAGATGCCGGCAAAGTTATAAATCGCTATTCTAATCGGGAGTGAAGAGGTTAATTCAAGATTCCACTAAAAAACAGACTGGCAGAAATGTTTCCAGGGCGTACCTTTTTTTTTTCTTTATCCCCCCCCCCTTCTCTCTTTTTTTCTCAGTAGGGGTTTGGAGAAGAGGTTTGGAAGGGAAGGAGAGGGCTGGTTCCAGGCCCCCAGCGTTCCCCAGAGCACCGTTAGGGAAGGGGGAGGGCTTCCTGCCCAGGCAGCCATCTGTAACATTCTGCGAACAGCAGGAACCCGGACTGCTCCAGTCAGTAAGCCCGGGTGAGGATTCTGTCTGCATTCAAAGAGGAGTTTCCCCTCTTATTTCTTGCATTCTCTCTGCCTCAGACCTTTCCTTTTATCTGTTGCAGGTGAGCAATGGAGCTAGGTTCTCAGGAGTTGCTTATATAAATAAAATAGCCTCTCAACGATGTCAGAACAATACTGTCGGGGACACTGGCTTGACCAGTACCAAAATACCCAGGCTGCCTCCAGGAATGTGCTGGCAGCAAGCTGGGAATGTCATCATTTCAGCTAATGTCACATTGTGGAACACTTTCTGGGATCAGTGGACGTGTGTCTGATGTTCCCTAACGTTACTGCTTTCTAGGCTTGAGTCAATTAGAGCTGGCTTTTTTGGAAAGTGGTGTCATTTAAAACTTATTTTATGAAAGTTATTTTTGTGCCTATAATTTGGGGCTCACACGTCTGTTATTTCCTCCAGTCCTTGGCGTGCATAATATACCGCCTATGGAAAGTAGTAAAGAGTGACAATGGAAAAAATAACAAGGGCTTTTTACTTTTAACATCTGGAGAAAACACATTTAAGGAAATGTTAACAAATAGGTACAGGGATTGATAAAGTTAAAAATCTATCTATCTCTCTCTATATATCCTTTCTTATAGAAGTAAAAATAACCCAGAAAGAATTTTTAAAGTCAATTTTAGATGACGCAGACAATAAAAAATTGAACCATGGGAATGATCTTATTTAAGAAGACTCAGATCACATCTTTGTGTAGGGTCAACCAAATGACTAATGTCAAACCCCCAAGGCACATAGGTACAAAAAATTTTCTCAGTAGAGAAGAAAGGCGTAGGATTCCAATTTTCACATTTTCTTACTTTCCACTTTTTGGTAAAGCTTTACTATTATATTTAACTTCCTGGCAGCAGACTAAAGGAACAAGCAAATTATACTGTAGCATATGAAACTTAAAAATCAGAGAGAAAACTTCAAGAAACATTCCAGCGCAGAGATAAATATTAAGACAAACAATGTAGTCGTAGTTCTATTGAGGAAAAAAATGTACAAATGTGAAAGTACTCTATTCTTATACACCAAAGTTACTTAAAGACAAAATGCAGTTCAAGGGAAAATAACTTATAATGAATATCCACTACTGTATTACCAAAAGAACAGTGGCTACATTTTAGCATGGTTTTCTACTTCAATTTTTTCACATTTTTATATCCTAAAGTAAGCATTAGTAAATATTCCCATCTGGTCTAAGTTTTTATTTTCGACCCTGAATCATAATTTTATACCAGTATAGGCTAATTTATAAAGGCATTGCATCAAAATTTGAAAACGCAAAGAATCAAATATGATAGTTTCTTTTTTCTCAGAATTACCTAGTGTCCAGATAGGAAAAAATTTCAAAATCTGTATTTGGGGAAAAAAATGTATCAACAGAATAACAAAACTTATTGAAAACTGCAAGATCAGGTTTGTAGAAAATTTTAAAGCTTCAGAAAATAAGTGGATGGTTTCCAGGTGCATGGGGCTAGTGCTTATGGGGGTAGAGTACCCTTGATGGGGAACAGGGGAGGCACTTCCTGAGGTTGCACTAATTCTCTTCCTGTGTCCAATCATCTTGCTGTCAATGTCCACGATCAAGCTCTGAGTTTAAACATGGTAAAACTTAATTTCTACCTAATATCGTAAAGCAAAGGACCAATACTATCACCAGGATCGCGAGACTGCCAAAAAAACAGACTATTAGCTTCAAATTTCACAATGAGAAATAATTATTGTGAAAAGGATAATGCCCTGATCCATAGGATCCGTGCTACTTACCCATACGGGAGCCAAGTAGGAATCTCCCCAGTTATGAATTTGCAGCAAGAACTTGCTGTGCAAGATCAGAACAGTACAACTCCTTGTGACTAGCACATTTTCTTCATGAAGGCACACTTCCCATCTTCAACTAAATGAATAAACAAAATAATGTTACAGTCCAGATAGGAGGTCCTGGGATCCATTTTGTCTCTTTAAGGAAAATTAAATGTTGGATGATGTACAATTCTAAAGTACCAGTCTCAGCGAATGATTTTATCTCCCTCATGCCTTTATTTTTCCAGAAATTTTTTGTTTTGTATGACTTCTAAGCACTGACAGCAGAGATTACTTACATTTATTGACTTTTTCAAGGACTATTCAAGAGAAAGTGTTATTGTGACAAATCTCAAACTAGTGGAAGCCTCAATGTTTCTGGGCTAGAGTAAGATATTCATGAAGTCTTAGCTATGTGTGTGCCAATAAAAGATGAAAGTCATTATGGGGATGTCTACATCCAGTTAACCACTTTACATTGCCCATGGGGTTAATCAACAAAACCTCTAAGTAAGAATCATTACTCCTACCTTTCAGATGAGGAAATTCACTTTCAGTAACATTTTCTAGTCCCTCCTCTGGTAAAGACAGCAAAAGTTTTTGAATTAGAGCTCTCTGACTTCTTAGTAGGATGACATGGACCTCCTCTACTTTGACCTATACTTAGCTAAAGGAAGATAATGCCCTATAAACTAGAGAGAGGTTACTAGCGGACAGGAAGAGTGAGGTTTGATTTATACATTCCCAAAAACTACTACAGTGAAAGCAAATGACAGCCTCATTTAGTGTTTGCTGAATGAATAAATGAATAGGTTTAATCACTACTTTGTAAAGCTATAAATTGAATATAAGATAAAGCGATTTGTATTTTAGTAAGCTGTTTCCTTCAAATTTATAATAATCCTTTAAGGATAAGAATAGTGCCAAAATTATGCCCACGCTTTTGGAATTTCCTTTTTATTTAGCTGTTTTTCTTAGAATTGTTAAGTAGAAGGAAAAAGGGTTTCATATCCACACAATTTAAAAATACAGTCAGAGCTCAACATCACAGATAAGAAAATGCAAATCAAAACTACAATGAGATACCACTTCACATGCATTAGGATGGTTGCTTAAGAAAAAAAAAAGGAGGGGCGCCTGGGTGGCTCAGTAGGTTGAGTGTCTGACTTCGGCTCAGGTCATGATCTCGCAGTTAGTGGGTTTGAGCCCCACATCGGGCTCTGTGCTGACAGCTTAGAGCCCAGGGGCCTGTCTTCGGATTCTGTGTCTCCCTCTCTTTCTGCCCCTCCCCTGCTCATGCTGTCTCTCTCTTTCTCAAAAATAAATAAAACTTTAAAAAATATTTTAAAAAAAGGAAAATAACAAGTGTTGGCAAGTGTGTGAAGAAACTGGAGCCCTTATATGCTGTTGGAGGGAATATAAAATGGCATAGCAGCTATGGAAAACATGATGGTTTGTCAAAAAGTTAAAAATAAAATTACCATATGATGCAGCAGTTCTACGTCTGGGTATATACTTAAGAATTGAAAGCAGGGCCGTGAAATATATGTGTACACCAATGTTCATTGCAGCATTATTCATAATAGACAAAACATGTTAGCAACCCTAGTATCTATTGATAGATAAATGGATAAGCAAAGGGTGAGTATATACATACAATGGAGTATTAAACAGGAAGGAAATTCTAACACATGCAACAACATAGATGAACTTTAAGGACATTATGCTAAATGAAATAAGTGACTCACCAAAAGACAAATACTGTGTGATTCTACTTACATGAAACACACTCAGGATAATCAAAATCCCAATGGCAGAATGTGGAATGGCAGTTGCCAGGGGCTAGGGTAAGGAGGAATGTGGAGCTAATATTTAATGCTATAGAGTTTTAGTTTTGCAAGACGGCAAGAGTTTTGAAGATGGTTAGTGATGATGACTATGTTAGTACTGCTGAACTTATACATAAAATTGCTTAAGATAGTAAATTTTATGCTGTGTGTATGTTACCAAAATAAAAATATTGGGGAAAAAAAACTATAATCAGAGAAAGACATTGGTCCATATACGCAAGTCACTGTTTGGACTTTATTCAGCATTAGCCCTTCCTGGTTATTTGGTTTATTACTTTAATGGAGCTGAGTTTCATTATTTAAATGTGTTTTTGTCAAGACGGAGGAGGTGAAGATCTGTGGACCTTGGTTAATTATTTAAGTAGATCTGGCATCTTTCACACTAAAGTAATCTCTTTTGTTCCCTGGGACTCCTAAGGAGCCATTGCTTAGATATGCAGAGGAAAATATTGCTGAGGTGTGTTAAGAAAACTAAGCTATAAGAAAATTCAGGTCTTTAAAAAAATACCACTATAGTATGAATTATTTATTAGCACAAAGATTTAAATTATTGATTAAGTCCTGGGCATAAGAGACAACAGCAGTTAATGAGACTTGTCTCTTGTCTCATATTATATGGATTCTATGAACTGATTTTGGAATATTAGCCTCTGAGCAATGAAGTTTCCAGTGGCCACGTGATAGCTTATTTAGCCAGTTGGTGATTAAAATATCTATTTTTAAAAATTCAGTTAGTAAATATTCCTGATCATAGACAATTCTATCTCCAAGTAAGTAGGAAGCATACAAGTATGACAAACAATATATATTTTAAAGTAACACTTTCTAAATATAAACAGTTATTGTATACGCATGTAACTGATTTTGCTATTAAAACTGCCAAAATTTTAAGTGTTGTATTCTTCTATTAAAGTGTAGCAGTGGCAGTGGTCAAACGCACACATTTATGGTTCAAAAGATCTTTCATGATTTTTGTTTTAAACCATTCCATGAGCTCGAGTAAATTTTTCTTCAAATTTTATCTTTTCTGACTAATTATATAAGCTTACATACTTAAGATTTTAGTTAAGGGGGCCAGTAAGGAGGTAGAGATATGTAGAAGGGACTCTCAATATTGACTGAGGTCATCTTCCATGTTCTTAGCCATGGAATACATTTTTACATGTTATTAAGGAAGTTATTCAGAAGAAGGCTGTGTGGTACACTGCCTCGACTCTTCAGGTGAATCCTGGTATCAAGGTCAGCAGCCTTCATTAGGTGTCACGAGGACACTTGACTTTCAAAGAGAAAATTGAGCTCACGGAACCTGAACAGCTATAATTTCACACCCAAGTCAGGTAGCCTCCAGAAACTCCTAGAAAAAACCAGGTAGCTGTTTTAAAGGATAAGGTAAATTTTTGTCAGCATTCATGTGAAGGTAAAACCTTCCAAATTTGAGTTTTAGTTTCAGAGTGAGCCCTTTTTTCCTCTCCCTCCGATCCCCAAATTAGCCAGGCTGGGGACATTTATACTAGACACCTTCCATCCATACATTTTACCTGGTATTTATCTTCTACCACTTTGGATTCTTGCATTCCTGTGTGCTTAGATTTAGTTTCTCTGGAACTGTAAATGTGTTAATGGTGTAAGGAAGAACTTTTTTTCTTCAGAGAAGTTCAGCAGGTAAATCCTTCCGATACCAACGAAGCCTAAGCAGAGGAGGCGGGGAACCTCACCAGCAGGATTCACAGTTGCAAGATTCACAGAACAACTGGCTTCTAATTGTGTCTGTCTGGTAAAGGGTAGCAGCAAAGAATCTGTGGAGAAAATAGAGATGGATCGGCATCAGGAAGTATAGATGAGTAGTTGCTCAGCTGTGACGGGTTATTAATGAAAGCAGTCATTAAAACCTTTCAAGAACAGCTCGCAATTTTTATTTCCTATCTGACAGTTTTGGAAAGAGCTTTGCAGAAAAACAAATCCTGTATTGATGGGGAACATAGAGAAGGAAGGGACATGTCTGAAATATGGTGATTTCCTTTCATTGTGGCCCAGATCAATTTTGTCATACCATAGTGGTTTTATCCTGCCCAGGTAACACCATGATGGAGTGGCAGTGTACAGGTGGGTGGGAGCGAATGACCACGTTCCCCTACAATGTACACGTTATGGAATTCTTACTAAGTCAGAGGAAGAGATGTTAAAATTGGAAGACTATAATCAGATCTGGTCGTGATACATTTCACAAAAAAATGGCACTCGTATTTTATCTTTGTTTTGATATATACTTACCATTTGCAATGTTTAAATTATTGCAAAACAAGTGAAACCATACATATATTCCACAATATTTGCAGCTAATTTCATAGATAAATCACACAGGTGTGTTATCACATAGAGGTGGGAATAGGGACAGGTACCCTAGTAAAATTATAATGACAATTATGTTATAACATGAGTAAAGGAACACTGTGAGCTACTATGACAAGGTAATTTTCATATTTGCTAGTGACATCCAAGGGGATTATGCCATTTGTGAAAAGTAAAATTAGTAACAGAGTAACTGTTTTTGGTTTGGACTTAACAGTGACTTCTCTGTGCCCTTCCCACTGTTTCCTTCTGGAGTCACACTGTTATCCCATCTGATCCTTACAACCATAATATATGAACCCTATTTTACAGATGAGGAAACTGAGGAAGTTTCACCAAGAAGGAAATAAAGCTGGAAGAGGGGCTCTAAGACCAGGAGTCTATACACCTATCACCAAGCAGGCTCTCAATAAACACACTGGTCCACAGAGACTGAGGATTACTTCCTGAATGTCCCTGTTTTCCTAAAAGGCCTTTCAGCAAGAACTGCTCTAAAAAATAAATCAGGGCAGAGTAATTTAATGCTCTTGTGTCTCTGTCTACTCGTCTCTCTTTTAAATAAGAACACATTGTGAATCCGTTTCTCAGCAACAATGCTGAATATCACTATCTAATTTAGGCTTTATTCCGGAAATAAATAGCAGGTTCTAATATGGGCTTGTGAGGTGCAAATACATGTGTATACATACCAGCATGAATGTACATGAGTCCCTTTGCTCAGCTCGGTCACAACAATTACTATGAAAGCTTCAGTAACTTCATTTTGGCAAGGAGAATGATAGGTCTGGGAACCAAATGTTAGCCTGAAGAGTGTTTTTCTGT